GGAAGCCGCTTTCCTCTGGCCCAAAACCAGCACCAACACCACACAGCCACCCCGTGCCAACTCCAGTGCTACAGTGCTGTCTAGTACTGCGCAGAACATGCAAGACTGACAATTTTCTTTTGTACAGAAAAAAAAAGAAAAAGAAAAAGGAGTTGCTGCAGCATGCAGTGCACACCTCACCTCACTCACATGCCAGAGCGCCAGTGATCTACATGTCGGCCTGCCAACGTGATGGAACAGCCAAAGCCCAAATGCAAGCAGTGGCCCATGGATCAAGTGGAGCATCATCCTCGTTAGCATCCTTCATTTCTTTTTCTTTACCGGGAATTCTCTTCATTTTTTCAGTGATCGAGGCAAGAAAAGAAAAACTCGACACTGCCAAACCCCTACTGAAATAGCGGTAGTAATTCTACAAGCGAAATTGCATCATCAACCAAAACCTGCTCCTGTTCAAGAGAATCCATCCAATTCCACCGGCGCTCGAGACAAAGGGGAGGTGCCAAAAAGGAGTCTTTGGAGAGGCGGCAGCCTTCTTTTCCTCCGCAGACTGGGGTTTTGTGGTGGTACGTACGTCCTCTTTTCTCTGACCCAACGCCAACACCAACACCACTCCGTGCAACTGCAGACTCGGCTACTAGTACTGCCTGCTGGGCACCAATGCTGCAGCATGCATGCATGCATGCACACCTCGCTCACTCACGACGCCACTACCTGACGATCTACGATAGCACAAGCATGCCTGCTGGCCTCAGTACAGTGCCTCCCAACCAGGAACCAGCCAACATCACACGACTTTGAATTTGAGTTGCAAATCTGAGGAACCACGGTCTACGGGAGGCCCAATCGACGGTCACCCAGGACGTACACCTCACGGAGATCATGCGTAATGTAGCACCACCATCGTTTCTCTTCGACAAGTGGCAAAAGGCTTGCCACATTCATTAATTCCAAACATATAGTTTTACGGACGGCTCATCCGAAGGTGAGAACAAACAGTACAAATAGCGATTTGTTCTCTGGTATTTTTTTTTTCATTTTAGAAAAATATTTTTTGTAGAAATAGAGGGGGAAAAGGCGAAAGAAATATATTTCTATCCAACACCAGTTTTTTCCAACATGATTGAAGTAAAAGATCTAATAATTTGAACCATTCTCCACTTCAGACCAATGAGGCAATGAAGCAATCCATTAGTCAAGACTTTCTGGAGTCTTCTCTTCGTTCCTATGCTTAAGAAGCATAAGGCCCTACTTAAGCTTAAAATGAGAAGAACAGATTTTCTCCGAGTTTCAATTTAAAAAATATGTCAATTACCTTGCATCTGGATTTTGCCCCATGATTTTGACTTGGTCAACGTCTCAGTGCGATCACTTTGGTCACCGCATGAGATTTTGTGAAACTGGCCGTCCGTTCTAACCGAGCCTATCGCGTTGTTTGGATAAGAGGAATATAGAAAACCCGATCTACATAAGCCAAAGAAACTGCCTAACTGTACGAAATCTTGTTTGGCTTGTCTAATAACAACACGGATATAGGAAACTTGTTTCTCAAACACTCAGAATCTCCTCTCATTTTTCCACAAACACGATTAGTATATACGGATGCAACTGCTTTTCTTCGCCCCCGCCTATTCCTCAACAAACTCAGTTGGCGCCAATTATGTTGTTTGTGATTCCGTGCAGCCTGCTGCCCCGGGCGCCACCGTTCCAATGGTAAAACGGGCTGATTTCCGTGCAGCCTACATGGCCGGCGTTGATTGGAGGCAGGGCCTGTGAGTTGACCTAAAGTAGGACCGCTCGCCGGGTAGAGCTTGTGCGGGGCCGACAGCGGACTAAGCCTAGTAGTTCAGAGGGGCGGACCAGCGGAGGCGCGCAGTAGCCGGCGTCCACGCGCGGCGGCGTGTACCTGGCGACCTGGGAGTCCAGCAGCAATCGGCATCCAGGGCGGAGGAGGCGTGCACTATCTGGCGTCCGCACGTTGATTCTTCCACCGGCGAGACGAGGGAGCAGCGGTGTCATGAAGCGGAGGAAGAATCAGAGGAGAGCAGCAGCTCCCCGAGCTTGGATGACGCCATGATGTGTGATTTGGGGAAAGTGTGAGTCACTCACGGAGTCACGGGAGGAGAATAGGAATAGGAACAACTAGTGGCCGTGGGTATCCAAACAAGGAACCGGGCGGACCAGTTTTCTGAATTTTCTAACCAAACATAGTTTATAATAAACTGGTTCACAAAAACAAACTTAAAACGGGTTTTCCTAAAAATCGGCTAAAAACTCATTTTCTATAATCCTAACGCTAATCTCCACTATCCAAACAACGCCTTAGTAATAAGAAAAATTGTTTCTTCGTATATGTGATAACTAGTCTGTTACTCCACTAATGAAAAAACGATTGTTTTTTTTATTGAGAACTCAGTCCGGTTTTTGGTCATGACCGAGGAGGACCGGTATTTTTTGGGACGAACAAATCAGCTATCAAATCGTTATCAAGAAACGATGGAACATACAAGCAGGAATCTATCACGGGCAAAAAATGGTAAACGAAAGGAATCGTTGAATGAAATCATTGGCGACCGCTATGCGAGTGGTAGGAATGCCCTCTTCGGCCAGCCATGGCCTTCGTGTGTGGATACCATGCGAAGCGATCGGCCGCCATGTGTCAGGAGATACGGGAACAATCTTTGGCCATGAAGGTGCCATGGCCGTTGGCGCATACAAGTCATGGGATGAGAAGTAAGGGTGGTTGCTAGGACTATGTGAGGTAGGCGGACGAAGGCGGTGGAGCTGCGGTGAAGAATGGAACACGTTAGGGTTGGGGGTTGCATACGTTTGGGCTGAGGTAAGGCTACACATAGGTTTAGTTGTTTTTGGACATGTATGTGTAGGTGTACTTGGTCGATAGGATATTGTCTATTTGACTTAGTTTGCTAGGCCCTAAGGCAATATCTTGGTCCAATAAGGTAAGTTCGGTTTTGAACATTTGCTAACCTTTTTCGACTTCAGTCCCGGGTTTTTTGCATCCAGTTTTCGGTTCTCAGTTTTTCTGCCCGCCTCTAGCAATCAAGATGCTTGTTACACCAAGCATGATCGGATGTCCCCAAGCTGCTTAGTTGCCCTTTTCGGTAATGTGTGTCAGTTTCACATGTGTTGCTTAGCTGGGGACCTAGGGAGGGACGAAACGGGACTTCAATGAGTACGACTGAAGACTGTGAAGTCATTTCATTTGACGGTTGTGTCACTGCACTCTTCTCTGTGTTTCTATTACTGACGTTGTGGCTTCCCCTTCAAAACCTCTCAGCTACCATCGTGTGAGGCCGCCATGACGAATGAATGATGGTGTGGCCTCGTGCATGTTGGTTTTGGTGGTGTATGTACCATTAGTCTATGACAAATAAGTTGATGAACTTCTTGTAGTTCAACCTGCCAGAGATGAAGGAGGGGAAGAAGGCCAAGTTCATTCTCGGCATCATGGAGCCCAAGGTTGGGTTCCACATTATCGAGGTCACCAGAATATGTGGCAAGCCCAACAAGTATGTGTAGGACTACTTCATGCCGCCGTGTGACTGCATTTTCCGATTAGTTTGTCGACCATCCTTTGTTTTCCCTTTTGGTGCGATCCTTCTTCTAGTTTCAGTTTCGGGATAGGCCGGGAGGAGAGGTACTCCCAACCCGACTCCTGAGATTCGATGTTGCTGGGTGTTTTCTCGGTGGGTTCTGGGCGGCGTGCTTCCGATTTGGTTTGATGGATTTTGGGGGTTATTGTGATGGTGCGCGGGTGCTACGTTCTTGGGTCGGGGAGCGCGATATCACCTGTCTCTTTATAAAGGGCGGTGTTTCATGATTTTTTTTTTCATTTGTTGTTGTTTCTTCACATTTGTTGGTTTTAGTTTTTCGGTTTCTTTGTTCCTCTTTTGTCTAGTACGCGGCAAAATGCACGCATAGGGTTCTAGTCTTTGATCATGCGCCATAGAGGATAGAGCCATACAGAGAATAACTTGAGAACACAATGTTCCATCACCACAGATCATAGTAATGCAGTACCATCCATGCCATGATCCATCTATCACAGGAACTTGACAACATGTACGTGCAAATTCCAGCAACTCCATCGGCACGCAATTCTCCGGTCCAAGGCCAGTCCAGATGCATGCCCGGAGAGAAAGAGGAAGATGCGAGTGCCCAAAAGTAGCCTTTGCGCGTCACCCTCGCAGCCTTGTTCTGGAGTAGTGACGGCAGACGCACATCTCCTGCAGAAGTGCAGATGCAGCAGCAGCAGCAGCAGCAGGTCCTCTCGCTGTTCCCTCTTTCGTCCTCCGGTCCAAACGACACGAGCCGCTTTCCTCTGGCCCCAAACCAGCACCAGCACACGCACCCACTCTGCGCAGACTCGAGTACTGCCAGTATGCTCCGATACTCTCTGCTCACAGCACACACACCTCACTCACATTGCCACTTTGCCAGTGATCTCCACTGCCTGACGATCTACAAAAACACAACCATTGATCACACAATGCAGTACCTCCAGCCAGGATTACAGGAACCAACCAGAATGACACGGTTTCGGGGTACAAAAAACCAATGAACTACGACGTACGTACATTTCACGGAGATCATGCATAATGCTGCGCCTTCATTGATCATAATGATAATGTAGTACCATCCATCCATCCATCACATCACATCACAAGAACTTCACCCCAAAATCGATCGATCGATTGCGGCAGCCAGGCAACGGGTCCATCAACGACCCATCATCATCACACACATTGCCAAACATGGCCAAGAATCTACTCCAGCAAGAAGAACTTGCACGCACATCGCACTCCCATCCCACCCAAAAAACACAGAGTAATGAACCAACGACTGAATTCTTCGTCGATCTGTCCGGTAGCCTGTACCACATCCAGGTTTCTCCCCAACTTACTTGCTATCTATCTACTATCTGTCTGTCAGTCATCCGATCTTCCGGTCGCCGGTCACCACCGGGCACCGGCCAAGGTCGCTCACATGACGGCGCAGGCGTTGGGGTTCTCGTCGCTGAGGAGGAACTCGGTGGCCTGCATCGCCTGCTGGTCGTAGAAGGCCGTCTTCCACAGCTGCAGCTCCGCCGCCAGCGCCTTCTCCGCCGCCTCCTTGCACTGCTTCCCGTCGCCCCCCTGCTGCTGCTGCTGCTGCTGCTTCCCGTCCTTGTTGCACCCGTCCTTCTCCTTCTCCTTGTCCTTGTTGTCCCCTTTGCCGGGCGCCACCACCTCCACGGGCCGGCGCAGCTTCTTGCGGAGCTTCTCCGGCAGAGCCTTGGCGTCCATGGTGCCCGTCACCGTCACCTGGTTCTTGGCCGGGTCCATCTTCACCTGCTCCACGCCTGCACGACACAATGTAGGTACGCGAACAGATCAGACGGCGCAGCCCAACTTGAGCACATCAAGGGGAATTCAGTCGAGCACCTAGCGTGCATGCATCGTGTCTCGTCGAGAAAACTCTGGCGTGCATGCGGGGTGGGTCAGGCAGAGGAGGATGAGCAGCGTGCGTACCTTTGATCTTGAAGAGCTTGCAGCGGATGCGGTGCATGCAGCCGTCGCAGTGGAGGCCGGCGGAGCCGATCTTGAGCACCACCGTCACGATCACCGGCTGCCATGAACCAAACCGAGCAATCAGCCGAGCAGAGCAACAACATCATCAGCACACGCATCGCAATACAAAGTGGCAAGAAGGATGGATAGGATCAACAAAGGACGCACCACGGCCGGCTTCTTGTTGTCCTTGCCGCCCTTCCCCTTCCCGGCATTGCCGCCGCCGCCGCACTTGTCGTCCTGCTCCTTCTTCTCCTCCTCCTTCTTGCCCTCGCCGTCGGCGCACTTGTTCTTGTCCCCGCCACCGTCGGCGCACTTGTCCTTGTCCCCGCCGCCGCCGCCCTTGTTGTCCTTGCCGCCGACGAGCTCGACCTTCTTCCTGGTCTTGGCGGCGACGCGGTCCCGCAGCTTCTTGGCGTCGAAGCGGCCGACGATGGTCATGGACCCCTTGTCCACCTCCATGGCCACGCCCTCCACCCCTGCAGGTCGACACGCACGCGCACGCACCGGGCCGATCGATCATCGTCAGAAAATTAAGGGAGAAATCATGCACGGACGCGCGCGGAGAAAACAGAAAAGTGGACGCGCCGCGCCGCGCGCGCGTGACAGAGAGAGCAGAGGCGAGGAGAGGATCGTGTTGGCACCTGGGAAGCGGCGGACGGAGGCGCGGATGCGGTGCGCGCAGCCGTCGCAGTGCATGTCGACCTTGAGCACCGCGGTGACCACGGGGAGCGGGGGCGGCGCCTTCTTCTCCTTGTCCTTGCCGCCCTTGTCGTCCTTGCCTCCCCCGCCGCCGCACCCCTTCTCCTTGTCCTTGTCCGCTTTGTCGTCCTTGCACCCGCCGCCGCCACCGCCCTTGTCCTTATCCTTGTCGTCGGCGGGCTTCTCCTTGGCCTGGCCCTCGCAGCCGCTCCCGGCGTCGGCATCGGGCTTCTCCTCCTGCTGGCCCCCGCCTCCTTCGCCTCCACCCCCACCACCACCACCGCGCTTCTTCTTCTGCAATCGCGAGGCAAGACACGGAGACAACCAAGGTCAGAGCGGCGAAAAAAGGAAACGGGCCGGAGGCGATCCGGTCGAGCAGATGGTCGCCGGCGGCCGACGAGGTGGTGGCGCGCGGACGTACCTTGGCCATGGCCCTCCTCCGATCGAGAACCTTCCTGCTCTGCGGCTGCGATGAGAGGGGGGGAGGGGCAGGGGTTGGGGTTTTAGCTGGCTATATGGCTACAGGCGTGCCTACCAACTCGCCCGAGGTGGCAATGCAATGGCATCCTCCTGCCCGCCGTCTGTTCGTACCGATCAGATCACCCATGGCAGAGGAATCTACCGCCCGGGCCCACCCGCCAGTCCTGGACCGGGCCCTCCGCCTCCTTTCGGGCCCAGCGGCAGGCAGCCAGCCGGCCGGAAGGGAACGGCACGTGGAAAAGTAGCCGCGACGGCGTGTGGCGTGGCTGTCACTGTCAGTGGGTTCGTAGTCACCGTGTGGCAGGATGGACAGTGTGCGTTACGTATGTACGTGGCGGCCGTGGATCGCCGTGCGGCGCCACGGCCAACGGGATGATCAATGAGGAATTGATGGATGGATGGATTGATGTCGTCCCCCTCGAGCCCGTCCGTCCGTCCGGCCGGCCGGAAGCCTGGCATTGAGATCGATGGAATCGATCGGCCGGTCGGTTTACGCGTGGCGCCGTGCTTCGGCAGGTGCTGGCTGTGGCCTGGCTGGGTCTGGGTCTGGGTGGGTGCTGTACGGCCGGGTTGCATGCTGCTGCTGCGGCAGGGAGGGAGGGAGGGCGGACTCCACCAGGGGAAAGCAAAAGGCGAGCGGAGGACACTGTGGGTCTCTCTGCGCGTCCGCTGCGCCACGGCGGCCACGGCCCAGCGCGGCAGGCTCGTAGTCGTAGAACGGTACGGCCGTCGCCCATCTCACAGTCGCCTCTGCGCGCTCCGCCTGCCCGTACGCACGCACGGCCCCTACACCTGCCCACGGCCCCTGTACCCCTACTGTGGCAGCGCAGCGCAGCGGAGGCAGCAGAGGCGCAGCTGTGGTGGTGGCGGGCTTTGGCTTTACAAAGGGCAGCGATCGACGACCGCGGTCCGGCTCGAGCAAGACCAACCAGGACCCGTCAGCAACATGCGGGACGTAGTACATCCAGCAACATGCCAACATGGCGACATGAATACACAAAATCTAACTTATCAGATATTCAACTTGACCGAGCACATTGTTCCTGCGTGTCAAAAATGGATCTTACAAATGCCAACTTTTTTGAAAATAAATACATGTGTTCGTTGTCACACCCAAACGGTACATTCAAATTTGCAAGTGAGAAATAAGCATTCTGACATATGAAAAAAAAAGAGAGGCAAACACCAAATGTTACCACCACATGTAACGCTTAATTTTTTTTTGTTTTTTATTTTGCACCAAGAAAGCACTGTTATCTCGTATGGCATGAAAATTGTCAAGCACACTCACCACATTACTAATATGAACATCTAAAAAGAAGAATTTTTAAATTTTATTTACTATTTATTTTGATTTTACTATTCCTTAGGGAGCATATGCTCCCCAATTCCCGTCCCTAACTTACCACCATTTAAGTCCACTACAGTATACACTGCACCGATTGTATAGCCATGCGTGTAATTTTTTTGGGACCTCAATATCCGCGTGACATTTCATCTGAGCAGGTCACATAACAACAAATCGTTCCCTGAGAACCGATCATTCGAGCGAACTAAAGAATTCCCTAAACTTCCAGTGCGACCCACAACGGCACTAGTTGGGCCACCAAAAAAAGCATAGTCTTGTTTTGACTGATAAAAAAAAGGCTTAAGCTAGTATTTGGGCCAGACTTTATATAGCTAAAAAATACAAAAATAAAATAGCATGATGAACGTATATAGTAAAATTGACATAAAGTTCAGCATGGACCTGTTGAAAAATGACTTCAAATTATATTTGCAAATAGAACTTAGAATGAAAACAAAAACAACTGGTGAGAGGTTTGATTGAAAATAAGTTTGGCTAAACTAAAAAAGTCATGCATGGAAATTTACAAATTGAAATTCAGACCTAAGTTGCCAGTATGTTTCATGAGCTAGTGCAAAATAATTCGAAAAAGGGTAATTTATGACAAGAGTATCATGATAACAAATTTGCCATCATGTTCAAAAAGGAATGTGCCATGGTGCAAAAATCTAATTTTTTTTTGTCCATTCTATTGGGAAATTTTTCATGGTCCAAAAATAATTTGCCATGATAGAGGACGAAAAACAATATTCTATTAATTTTTTTTTGTCAATTTTCCATGACGTAAATAAAAATAAATTTGCCATGGTCTTTGAAGTAAAATTTTCTATGGTCAAGTTTTTTTTTTGCAGTGGAATAAAAGAAAAGTTCATGGCAAATTGCATCTGTAGATCATGGCAAAAAATTTGGACTAGATTTGTAAGGAATTTTTACTATATACATGACGGACAAAAGGGTAAATTTGCATCATGTATTGTTTAAGCGATGGTAAATTTGCCATTGTAATTCATATGATAGTGCAAAAAAATCGTAAAAATAAAAAAAAGTGAAAAGAGTATCATGATAAGTTTTTGCCATTGTGTGTTTCAATTTGCTCACTCTGTGCGTTCGGTTTATTCGGTTTAGATGGTTCGGTTTATACGCTTTTCGGTTTGTACGGTATTAATACTTCGGTAATTATCATATATGAAATTAAAATACGGTTCGGTTTTGCTATATACCAAATTATTTCGGAACATACCATAAAAACCAATGTTGATGCTAATTTGAAAATGAAGTAATAATATTTTGCAAATTTAAGGCTCAAAACACATACTATTTTACACAAATATATATATAACTATATATATAAGTGTATATGCATGCATTGATTCATCTGTTGATGGTTATGGACGTGTTTATAGCATTTTAAAAAGAGAAAAATAACTATGTTACAAGAAAAAAGTATGTGCTTAGTAGTGAATTTGACTCATGTACAAGAAAAATGACAACTTGTATGGTTGTTCATTTGAAGAAATATAAATTTATTTTTTACTTCGGTTTATTCGGTTAATAGTTTGGTTTTTCGATGTATACCGTAAAAACCAAAGTTCAAAAGGTATGAAAAGTTCATACCATACCGAAACCAAAAACCATAAAATTGGTTCGGTTTGGTTTATTTCCGCTATGGTTTTTCGGTTTGGTTTTCAAATGCACAGATTGACAATTTGCTCTGGTTTTCAAAAATATGAATGTGCCATGGTGCAAAAAATTAACTTTCTATTCTATGAGAAAAATTTCCATGCTCCAAAAACATTTCTGCCATGATAGAGATCGAAAAATAATATTCCATGGATTAGTTAGTAAATTCGCCATGGCAGAAACAAAAATAAATTTGCCATCGTCCATGAAAAATAAATTTGCCATGGTCGTTGAAGAAAATTTGCCATGGTCTAGTTTTCTTTTTTCTTTTTTTGCAATGGACCAAGAGAATAATTCATGGCAAATTGCATCTACAGAGAAAAAATGATGATTAATTTTTTATGGCATTTTCATTCTATGCATGAGGAACATAAAAAAGTAAGTTTGTCATCAAAGAAAAAAAAAGTGTACCATGTATTTTTTTAGTAGAAACTGCCATCGTACATAAAGTAAATTAGCTATTGCAGTAAGGTAAAGTTCACATGGTCTTACAAGAAAAAAATGCCATGTGATTAGACGCACCATTTGTACACACCCAAAATAAAAAAGATGCTACCTAGATTGAAACTTCATGCATATACAATGTGGCTATTCCAAAAATGTTCTAAAATTTTGTTATGATGTATGAGACACACTTTTTTCCAAAATTTGACATATCATCAATACACACTTTTTTTCCTTGAAAAAATGGTACCATGTACTAGGGACCAAGTATTCATAAGTTTGCCCATTTTACTGTTACAAAATTTGTCTCTTCTTTTGTTTGTGATGGTGTAATAAAGAAATCTGACTTTAGGGGCACATTGTAAACTAAAACTCATCGTATGTCCACAACAATAACACAAAAAGTTGGGGGCCTACTAGTAATTTTTAATTTTATGTACAAAATTTTATCATGGCATGCTCAAGGAATTTGATGCACTTTGTACAGTAAAATGACCTTGATCAAAAAGAAAATAATAACTGAGCATGAAAAATTGCCATTGTTTTGTACCAGAAATCATATTCATGGTAATATTTTACCAGGCTACTAAATGGCACATTTTTTGAACACGACAATCTATGGTGCAAGGTAAACTTAGAACAAGTTTGTTTATGTAAATTTTGGGAATTTGAGTTATAGGACACATGGCAAATTGGTGAGTAAACACAAAATTTCTGATTTTTTCCTTGTCATTTGTCAAAATAATTGCCATATGACTTAAAAAATACCATTTGACAAAGAATACAATTTTATTTATAATTGCCATGTTTCCGAAGACTCAAGAATTTCTGAATTTTGCCATATGATTTTTCTAAAAGTTGCCATGTCATTCAATGAAAATGCCATGTTAGCATTTACTGTTACGTATGCCATGGAACAACAAACTAACAATTCAGAAAATTTTGCTTTATCCCTAAAAATCATGGCAATTTTTCCATGGGCAAATTTTGTACATTGCAAAATTATTGCACAGAGCAAATTTAACAAATTGGCGTGGACTGGAGC